AGCTCCATGAGTTTCGTTTGTCTTTGTTGGGAAAGGACATCTCCCCTGTACAATCAGCCAAAGATCACGGCGTGATTTTGGATTCGAACTTGACTTTTGATGATCATATCAGACCACAGTATCGGAATGTATCGCAAGTCTCGGGCAAATTAGCCGTGTCAAACACTGTCTTGACAGAACGTCGTTGTTAACCGTGATAAACGCCTTAGTTTTCAGTAAGTTGTACTACTGCTCGAACGTCTGGGCAAATACCACAGAGAAAAATATACGGAAATTGCAGGCTGTGCAGAACTTCGCATGTCGAATCGTTAGTGGCGCGAGAAAGTACGATCATGTAACTCCCCACTCAAAAAGTTTGTCTTGGTTACCCGTTAAGGACCAACTATACTACCGCCAAGCTACCATGGCTTTTAAATACATTTCCGGACACGCCCCCAAATATCTGACGTCACAATTCAGTACTCGCGAGCAAGTTACCAAGCGTACAACTAGGAGTGGCCAAAAGCTTAATATACCTCTTTTTAAAACAGCCTAAGGACAAAGAACATTTTATTACAGAACTATTGGACTTTGGAACAATTAAGACCCCTTTTTAAAATCAAGCCGTTCGGTTCAAGTTTTTAAACGTATCTTAAAGAATAAGCTTTTCCTAAACTTCATTTATTTTTAGTATTTTTCTCGACTACAAAGTTTAGATAATGTTGTAAATGTTTCTTAAATTTAATTAATTTTAATTGTGTAGTTATTAGTAACTTTAGTAATTTAAATAATTGTTCCTGAAAAGCCCCATTGGGAAGGTAACAATAAAGTATGTATGTATGTATGTATGTATGTATGTATGTATGTATGTATGTATGTATTCTAGTGGAGGAATCCATCGAGATTTTCGCATACTGAAGAAACAAAATCGGGAAGGTCATTTACATCCATTTACTTCAGAATTTCCCATAAACGTAGCGTGTGTACAATTCCTGAAATTCCCGTTTGTTATTTCACGAATTATCTGATGTTTTAGTGTTGACAAATTTTTCGTATTACGTAAGTAAAAAACATTGAACTTCTCTCAACGGACTCAACGCTGCAAGGAGAATCTCTATCATAATTTACTTTTTAAGAGACGACATTACCGTCTAAAATTCAAACGTTACTGTTAGGCTCAGTATTAGCGCATTGACAACCTAGTAAATAGCTCAAACACACTGAAAACATTTTTATTATTTTTTGTATATCTTTATCTGTGAGCTTCATGTGAGTAATAAAAAACAGAGAAGTATTGTTTGATGGCTTGTTTTCATGAATCTAGGATTTTGAGAATCGCTATAAACTACGCGATCACGCATTTAGTAATATTTCTTCTTCTCCTAATGATTTGATACTGGAAGAAAACAGTAACGGTGTAATGCTATTTTATGTGCCCGATATAAGAAAAAGTTTGTACTCGCATTTAATTTACAGGTAAAGATCCTATCTCAGTGGTTATTTTATGACAACCACAAAATACTCAAACAAAATCAAGAAACTGTCGCAGGACCTCAAAGCTCCTTTCTTCAGAACGATCTTGAACAGTCCTTTTTTGAATTTTTCGTGGGGAACAAGTGCTGAAGCTTACATGACGTATTTTAAATTTAACCGCTGTACTATAAATTGTGTGTTCGACCCTCGACGAACGCCTTCGATATAGCATCACACTGTTCGAGTTTAGGACATTTCGATTAGCGTTTATTGTATGATAATTGCCTATTTTAATTTATTGTATTTCAGTTTTTACGAACTTTCCAGTGATTAATAAACTAGTGTACACTCAAATAAAACAAATTTATTAAAAACTGGGAGGGAAATAATACATTTACCCTTTCATTCCCAATATCTCAGTAGTAATTCTCCTTACTGTCTGTTATACAATTCTTATGATGTTAGTTTAGAGTATTTTGTATTTGATCAACTAATAATACCTAATTGAAATTTTTCTTTATTCTCATCACTTGTCTGCTTGATATTTTATTCATATGGTTAAGAGAAATTCTGTCTTATTCATTTACAATGTATGAGGGTTGAAGGTTTACGCTGACATGAGATATGATAATTCTCAACCAATTGTTCGCATTAACAAAAAACATACAAACCAATGCTAGTCAGAAATGTTTCTTTTTTTATTGCTTATGTTTTCCAAGTTACTGGCTAGTGTTAAAACTATTTCTATGGCTGTCGTGAACACATGAAGTAAGAGAAGCCACCAAAGAACTGAAACCATCAACTCAACATAGCTAGACATAAATCTTAAAAAAAAGTTTTGATTTTAAGGTAGACATAGTCCTAAAGTTTACCACAAAACAGTGTTCCTAGTTAGATCTGAATCAGCCTTCACTTTGATAGTTGTTTTCTAGATCTTACTTGGTAATAAGAGTAAACTTATATACATGCAAACCCTGATGCTAAGGAGTAAGTTCTAGAAACCATGCATGTGTATCTGGTCTGGTTTGGCCAGTTTCAGCTGTTTCAG